CACAAAAAACTCTTTGGCACCAAAAGCCTGTCTTTGTCTCCCATATATGGTCAAGTCCATCCGTTCTCTTTTTTCTATGAAAACCTTGGCATTTTGTAAAACTATAGCTATTTTTTCTGAAGAGCCTACAGAACAAAATTGAGGGGTATTTGCCATCACAACTATTAGGTCCATTGATCTGCAAAAATATGGGATCTGATCCTGCCTTAATATGTATCGTTCCACAGCAGAGGGGCCACCACCGAAAAGGCTCTGTCTTTCATCTCCGTCAAACATGCTTGTGACGAAGGCGGTAACGAGAGCAGCGCCTCCCCAGATGATCTTAAGGTTCCAGATGGTTCATTTTATGCTTTGAATTGGGATATATGGCACTGTGGACTCAGATAATCCAATCCAAAGCAGATATTGTGAGTTATTCTGCCTTGATTGTCTGGGTTATACGGCTGGGTTGGTTCTGTGGGACCTCTCAGTAACCTTCGATACTGTTGACCTCGGTATCATGCTGGAACGCCTTGCGGATATGGGACTTGGAGATACTGTTTTGCAGTACCTCCGGTCCTTCCTTGAGGACTGTTCCCAGAAGGTATTGCTGGGGGACACCTGCTCGACTTCACAACCATTGACTTGTGGGTTCTCGTAGGGATCAGTATTGTCCCCTGTGTTGTTTAACATTTCCATGAAGCTGCTGAGAGAAATTATCTGGAGTTTTGGAGTGAGATGTCATCTCTATGCCGATGATGTTCATCTCTATCACTCATTCCCACCTGTTACTAAGGGCCCTTCCACACAGCCCTATATCCCAAAATATCTGCTTTGAAATGGGTTATCTTAAGAAGGCTGTTCACGTTTGAACCAGTGTTTGGCAGCTGTGACGGTCTGGATGAGAGCGAACAAATTGAAATTGAACGCAGATAAGACAGGGGCCCTCCTGGTCAGTCACAAGGCTGAACAGGTTACAGCCTGTGCTGGATGCGGTCACATTCCCTCTGAAGACACAGGTTCACAGTGATCCTAGGACCCTTCCACACAGCCCTATATCCCAGAATATCAGAAAAACTCACAATATCTGCTTTGAACTGGGTTATCTGAGTCCATACTCAGATAGTGTGGGATTTTCTGCCTTGTTATTCTGGGATATAGGGCTGTGTGGAAGGGCCCCCAGACTCATCACTTAGCCTGGAACTCCAGGTCTTGGTGGTGGTTAGGGGAGCTTTTGCACAATTAAAACTTGTGTGCCAGTTGCGCCCATACCTTGGGAAATCAGACTTGGCCATGATGGTCCACACTCTTGTTACATCCTGAATGGATTACTGCAATTTACTCTAGGTGGGGTCGCGTTTGAAGACTGCTTGAAAGCTCCAACTAGCGAGGTTGCTCACCAGAAAGGCATACCGAGAGCATACAACCCCTTTGCTATGCCAGCTCCACTGGCTGCCAATCTGCTACTGAGCACAATTCAAAGTGCTAGCTTTAGCCTATAAAGACCTGAATGGTTCTGGCCCAACTTACCAGTCTGAATGTATCTCCTACTATGAACCTCCACGAAGTCTAAGATCGACGGGAGAGGCCCTGCTCTCAGTCCCACCACCCTCGCAAAAACGTGACTGGTGAAGACAAGAGACAGGACCTTTTCTGTGGTGGCCCCCCACCTATGGAATTCTCTACCCAGTGACATTAGATTGGCCCCCTCCCTCTTATCCTTTAGAATGAAACTCAAAACCTGGCAATGGGACCAAGCATTCGAACAGTAGAGGCAGCAATTTAGAATGAGACTCAATTTGTGTGAATGACAATGGACTGACCTGGACTATGATTTCAAACGTGTGATTTCAAACAATGTTTTTAATAATTTTAAAGCATTAACAAATTGTTTTAATTGCTTTTATCATTTATTCTTGTTGTTGGCATTGAATGAATGCCTATTATGAAGCTGTCCTGAGTCCTCCTCCAGGGGTGAGAAGGACGGGATAAAAAATAATAATGCAAAATAAATAAATAAATAAATAAATAAATAAATAAATAAATAAATAAATATGGAAGGACCCAGAGATTTCATTCAATCACAGTATCAAACAGTATGCTCTTGATTTTAATGGTACATCTTTACACTTGAGGATCTCATCTAGTTCTTTCATAGATGTCTTACCTTTTACAATTGGAATGAACCACTATAACCCAGAATCAATAATGTTTACCTGTGTAAATAGGAAATACTGTTGCATGGTAAGAGGTGAGAATAAAAGGTCTGATTGATTTGCTCTCCTTGGTGTATTATTGGGACATTGCATCAAGGCAAGCAAAGAGATTAAGAAGGATTTCCGAGGGCACAGGTTGGAGAAAAGAAGGCTGAGAAAGAACATGACAGCCATATTCAAATATTTGAAAGGA